TAAAATTTTTGTCAAGGTTATCGAATAAAATATTTTTAAAAAAAAACATTCCTACTAACAAATCAAACGTAAAAATTATTACGTTATTAAAACTGTTAGTTGTAACTAAATATAAATATTATTATTCTGACAAAGTATCCAGGTTGTGATAATTTTTAACGATATGTTGAAAGGAAAATCTTGAGAGAGGCTCATCCAAAATGATAAATTGGACTTTCTCCTCTTTGGAGATTTTCTTATTTAAGGAATTTTTTTCCATTCATTAAAACTTAATGATAACTGCCTTTTCCCCTAATGAATTCAGGAATATAATGAAGACATGCTGCGTCCTTAATGGCTGTACCAAGTTCTGTTAAAACGAATTTGAAGATCTTAAAATAAATCTTCATTGTAAGGAGTTTTAAAAATAATTTTTATTACATTTTCGTTCCACAGATTTTAAAGATGTAATTATTTGTGTTGTCGTCTCTTTTTAGAACTTTCTAAGCTGAATTTCTCGTTTCCTTTTAATTATGTTAAAAAATTAATTAGCTTATAAATTATTTTTTCCTGTATCTCAGTTTTAAATACCCAATCTGATTTTTTTTAATGGAAGAAAATTTATCTTAAAATATGGTGGTATATTCAAAAGAGATTCTCTTTACTGTAATGGCTAAGATAGATAATTGAACTGGGAAATGTTTTAGAAGAAGTAAAAACAACTGTGATATAAATTATGATAAATTTAAAAAAAAAACATTCTTTTTCGATACATAACACGATAAAACTCAAACACTGGTCTTGCTTACACATTAAGAACATCACCAAGAGAGTGATTAATAATGTGACATTTTAAATCAACTTTTGATTAATTTAAATTTAGTGGTGTGGAAAATAATTTTAATTAAAATTTTCATAACAGTGAATCATACAATAAGACATGCTCTTAACAATCACTGGAAGAAATTTTCTCAAAAACTGTAGAAAATTGATAGCCCTGATAAAGAAAAAAAAATATTTCAATAACCAAGATGTTTTGCTACCATAATTTTATAAAATAGTATTATCCCAGTAGCTTTACATAACAAAATAAACAAATCATTTCTTTTGCAATTTGTCGAATAATTTTCCGAGTTAAATTATGCATGGAATTCCAGAAAATTATTATTAATTATTTAACTTATTAATGTTGCTACATTATTTATTTGTTATTAATTATGCTACATTAGCTAAATAATGTTGTTACATTATTTATTTGTTATTAATTATGCTACATTAACTAAATGATATTGCTACATTATTTATTTGTTATTAATTATGCTACATTAACTAAATAATGTTGCTATATTATTTATTTGTTATTAATTATGCTGCATTAACTAAATAATGTTGTACATTATTTATTTGTTATTAATTATGCTACATTAACTAAATAATGTTGCTACTTTATTTATGGATATATCTAAGTTAAATTATGTCACATTTAAAACCAAATTTGATTAATTCCAATATTTTCCCAAAAATGTTTGTAATTAGTTTTCTTGGAATGAATTTTAAAATTAAAGCAGCTAGAGCAAAAAGAAAACATTAAAAATAATGCAACAATTAGATCCAAAATTTAATCATGTTCAATTTACTGACATATTTATTTCAAAATATTTATTTATTGCTCTGCCCGAATACCAGACTAAACTGACATATTTAGTTAAATTTTTGACAATTCAACTTACTTTCTCTTTTGAGAAAATATGAACTGTTGCATTTATGCTTAATTAGCTGTTACGGCAACAGTAAATGTTGACATGTTTGTAGTTAAGATTTCAGAAAGCGTCGTTTATATTTTTGCAAAATAAATAAACACAACTTAATGTTTACCGCCCGAAACGGCAAAATATCATTCAAATTACTTTTTTTTATAAATATCAAAATATATTAAACAAACCCAATCTTTTTAAAAAAATAAATTTGAAACCAAGAATTTCCCAGAAGAAAAAGAAATGATGCGTACAAAATATATTTCTCGAACGAAATTATTTCTTTAATTAAATCTTAATGTCAAAACGCAGATCTTATTTTGAATGACACCAATTCTAAGTGTAGACTATTTTGATAAGAAACTATTTGTCGAAACTTACAAAGTTATTTAAAATAAAAATTCTTGGATAAATTTGTTTATTAAAGACTCTTTTAATAGATGTTTTTAGTTGTAAGTAAATGGAGCTACATTAATTTTTTTTAAATGAAAATTAACTTCTAATTTACTACTTGGTAAAAACTTATTGAAAGACAGCTTTTCGAAGAACTATTCTTTTTGAGATATTGGAAAGAACTTTCTGGTTTTACTTGATATTTTGGTGTAATAAATTTCGATTAAATCCGCAAAAAATAAACTTCGATAACTTTTTTTAATAACGGTTTATTAATTTGTAAAATATTGTTATTGTAGTTTTTTCGTGTTTGTTATGCTGTGCATGGATAAATTAATATTTATGTAACTCTATACATCGTAAAACTTATTTGGCACCTTATCATTTCGCGCATTGTAATTGGTCAAATAAACTTACTTACTTATTACTTAATTAAATTAAATAAGTAATTAAATTGCTTAATTCTTTTAAACGAAATTAACTTTCATTTTACTGCTTGTTACAAACTTGTTATTGAATGTCCGCTTTCGAAGTTGTATTCTTTTGAGACACTAAAAACTCTTAGCATTGCTTGATATTTTTATGCAAAAAAATAAATTTCAATAACACTTAATAATATTAGTTAATTAATATATGAAATATTGTTATTGCAATTTTTTACTTGTTCGTTATGCAGTGCATGGGTAAATTACAATTCATTAAAATATGTATCTCTGTGCATCATAAAACATATTTGGCGTCTTATCATTTCGTGCATTGTAATTCGTCAGAAAAACATTACTTGTTAAATAACTAATTAAATTAAATAAGTAATTGAATAATTTAATTCTTTTAAACGATATTAACTTCTATTTTACTACTCGTTAAAAACTTGTTATTGAATGACATCTATCGAAGTTGTATTCTTTTGAAACTCTTAGCTTTGCTTGATTTTTTTATGTAATAAATTTCGATTTCTTCTGTAATAAAATAAATTTCGATAATTTTTTAATAATAGTTAATTAATTTGTAAATTATTGTTATTGCAATTTTTGTATGTTCGTCAGGCTGTGCATAGGTAAATTGCAATTTAATAATTTATATATCTTTATGCATCATTAAAAATATTTGTAGTCTTATTATTTCGCTCATTGCCATTGGACAAAAGAGTCACATGATGTGATCATAAATTAGCAAAGGAGATTCATGAATCTTTCTCTGTCATCAGTGTAAAATTAATAAAAGTTATAATGGTATCAAAATGAAATTTTTTATTTATGTCTTATTTAGCAGTATTTACCAGTAATATTTACTTATTATCCTTATTTAATATTGATTCAAATTTTGAATAAGCTAAATTTTCTTTTTTTACTAAATATGTAAATCTGTGTTTGGTCGACGTATGCAACTACAAAGTAACTATTTTAAAGTAATGATTCTAATGTAACTATTTAAAATTCTAAAACAATATGAAGACTTAACTTTTTACAATATTACTAAATAATCTCCATGGAAAAAAAACTATTTAAAGCGTTTTTATAGTAACCGAAAATTAATAAGAATTTATAAATCAAGTTTGTGGATGAAGTTACGAGGCCAACCGAATAAAATTATTAAATTTAATCCGAAATCTGTGAAACCAAATAAGACTTAATACATGAAAATTTTTGTATCTTTTAATTGAACAGTTTTTTTATTTTTAAGCTACGATTCCGTGCAGTGTGGCTATCGTTAAGAAACATACGTTATCGTTACATGTTGCTACTTTTCGTTAAGAAACGTACAGGGTTTGGACGAAAATAAAGATAAAACACAAGGCACTTTTATTCTTACACAACGTAATCTATCTTTCTTTTATAACGAATGAGAGGTTATGTATTCAAGTTAACTCTCATATAACTTCCAATTTACGAAATTTGACTATTCTAAAAAAAACTGCCGAAAATTCACAACTCTGCCATTGGTAATAATTCGGTAATCTCTCAACTAGCAGAAAATACGACGTGAGTTTTGTGTATTTATTTCAAAACTTGTACACATTTTCCTAAATGAACTAGACAGTCTTGATTGAAAAAGGAACCGTAGTATCTATTTAAAAATATCAGAAAACAACCACGTGCTTAACTCGTTTAGAGTCTGAAACTGCAACTCGAGATACTCTGAGCTCTGTTTTGCTGAAATATACTTGTTGCGTTACAAGCCCATGATCCACCCATCTTTAGGGTTCTTTTATATTTATAAAGAAAAAGAACTCAACTATTGATTAGTATTATCAGTTTGGAACCACTTTATCTAACTTAAGCCATTAACACCAGCATCTGAAGGGAAATCCTCTTCCTTGATACAAAGTTCAAGGAAATGTTGAAAACGATTAATGCATTTACATTTAAACTAGCTTTCAATCTACATTCAAGAAAAAAAAAACATTATGATAATTTCACATTCTGGTGGATATTAATCGTTTAAATTAACAAAATCAAGACCATATTAAAAAAGTTTATAGTAAATTTAAATAACGTTACGGTCAAGCTCACGCAAAACTTTTGACAAAAGGGTCCTCATTTGGCTAGAGAAACTGTCAAGGAAAAAAAACCACAATCATTTAATGTATTTAAAACAATCACTAAGCGTCATTTTGTGAAATCTGTATGAAAATTATGATCTAAAAGATCCGTAAACGTTAGAGCGTTATCTAAAAATCTAGCATACAACTAGCATCAACGTACTACTCTACTTTTACATTTTTCTACGCCAAATGGAAACCTTGTTTGACTTTGTTGACATAAAAATGCCAAACATATTCATTATTTTACTTTATAAAAAGTTTTCATTTTAAAAATTCAAATTATTTTTTCACTATTCATTACTAAGTCAACCATTTCCTCTTCGTTTCAGACGTAGATGAGGGTTCGTCCCTAGGGCTATCTGTCCCGCCTTTCCTGGCAGCTGGTCTCACTCTCAGTCTCGTCCTCTTAGGAATCGTCGCCTACTTCAGCTACAGGTGGCTCGTTCAGCGCCTGCAGTCTTCCACAAAACCTTCAACCGAACAGACAGATCCAGAACAAGCGTCCACAAGTAGTCACCAGCAACCGCCACCCGACATCAGAGCCACACCCTGTGAAGAAAAAGATGAGACACCACCAGCTGTTGAAGGGGCTGAAATGCCCAAATCGCCCTCAGGTCAGTGCTACAAACAAATATATAAACATTTCTTAAGCGAAAAGTGAACTAGCTTGATCTCATCAGAAACGTGCAGTAACGACAGACCCAGTTTTCAAGACAAGTGCAACGCAAGTCGCGTATATTGTTCGTTCACCAGGAGTTGACACTTGGCTCCACCTCCTCGGACGAAGAGTTCATTTCAGCGTGGGAGTAAGAGGAGAAACGTCTCCGCGCTGGAAATAGAGACAACCCTTAATGCGCTCCAAACGCAAACAGCTAATTTTTTTTTCAGTCGCTTACTTCGCTTTATCATCTGCTATTAAACCTTTCGTTACTCTAGGTAATTAAATATATTTCAGCAACATGCCTCAAAAAGGACAAACTATTCAATCAAAGAGAGAAATACCAGCAAATAATGAAATATTTAATGTTAAATAAATGGAGATAAAGATTGCGAAGTAAATATTTTTGTCATACGCCAAATAGCAACTTTTTTCAGGATTGTTCACTTCCTTCTCCCAAAAATACCGAAATAGTATTGTCGGAAATCACGCAATGAAGGCGGAGCCAAGTGCCAACTCCTGGTGAACGAACTATAAATATCCAGTTCACTTCAGAGCATTTAAACCTTTGACGCAGATTAGACATCAGTCTCCCATTTATATATTTTTTCTAGCACTCTGAATACAGGTATGAATACGTATATTTTGATAATTATTAATTGCGAAAAACAGTCTAATAGTTCCTAAAAAATGTGCTAGATTTTCGGAATCATATTTGTTCTAAAATATGAATTCCAAAACAAAAGCTCGATTTTTTTTCCTGTTCATATTTAAACAAATACAGGGTGTCCAAAAATGACAGCATAAACTCTGCACAGCCAGATTCCTCGTTGGGAGTACATAAAAACTGCCCAAATAAGCGTTCCTGTACTATCCATAGTTTACGAGAAAAATACGAAAAACAAAGTATGACGTCACTGCCGGTGCAAGAAAAAAAACATTTTATTGGACATATCCACGGCGTGCTCAAGCCCATGGAGCTAGGAGTAAGTGGAGAAGACACTCCCATTAGCCCACTCCTTTCAAGGTGAAGCAACCGCGAGAGTTTTCCGCCATCTTAGTTACTGCGTCGTTGTGCGCTCATACATCTTTCTATTTCTAGTTAATCCATGCTTTTTAACGAAGCTTGGAGGGCGGTTTTGAACGGTTCTTAATTTGATTTAAAGTGTCGAGTTTAGTCTTTTAAGTTAAATAAGAGATCCATCCATCCAAGCTTTCTCCATTTTTTATTTAGCCGTTAGAATTTTCGTATTTCTAACTTTTAGAAAAAACATTTCAACTTGACAGAATTTTTGAAACAAATGGAATTCTTGGTAAAGTTAATATTAGGTCAAGTTCATTTAACAATCACTATGCACTTTTCAAAACAATTTCAAGAAGATAAAAAAGTTTATTATCTAGAAATTTAAAATTTATATTACTCTGATAGTTTTAATTCATAGGTCCATAAAGTCAGGTAACTAATTATTTTAAGAAAAGACAGGGAAAAAAA